AGGAAATGGCGAAGATTAGTCAGTTCAATGACTAATATAGGGGAAAGCTGTAGAGTGGGAACATATAGCCATTAGGAACGAATGAAAATAGTGAAAAAGTCTCTAACGAGATGACACATAGTGAATTATTTATGCACATATTCTCCAATGTTTCGGATCATGAGCCATGTATAATATTGAAAATTTTTTATGCTCAGTGCCTATTTATTCACAACTGTACGTTCATTGGATTTATAGTACGTCTAGAATCAACTTCGCATGGAGTACTGTCACGGGGCGCTTTTTGGGGCTCCATAGTAAAAGTAATGAACAGTGGGAAATGTGTAAAATGTCTGAAATGTAAGAAACTCTTTCTAAGGAAGATTGAAAATAGTAAAGGTTATTCATTGTCCTGTCGACATTCTCTATGAGCCTATTCCTTTCATTCATCAGTTCAGACATTATTGTGGCATTGGCTGATGTGTTAACGACAAACGGACCAAAAGCATCAAACGGTCTGTCAGGGCGAACAGCAAGCGTGAACCCATTGATCATACGCGTCAATTTGACCTGCATGAAACTGAGGCCTTGCAAATATCATAGTTACTTTGAAGACAGACCAAGGATGGTCTGAAACGTCATTACCTGCTGTAAGACTTTCTAATAAGAAAAATATGTCTTGCCGTCCCGTCTGTTGCTTATCAATGTATGAGGTTAAAGATTACTGTACAAGTCCCCTTACCTGAATTCATTTTGCCGAGTTTCGCGAATGCTGTCACGGAGCCGCTTCCAACTGAGAACGTGGTCGTCTTCTGGAATGGAGTGTAGGTGACGGGCGAGCTTTCAACGAGTTCATGAACCGAGGGAACTTGGGTCAAAATGTTGCTGTTTTTAGAGTAGTAGTAGATGTCCGGTTTGTCGTACCGCAGCAGCTTCGCTTAAAACGCGTATCGTTTGACAGAACAGACAGTAGCAACGGCTTGAAAGGTCATTCGAATACGCACCTAGGTCATCCAGTGCCGATTTTCCTGCCAAAGACAAGCAGACGATGACATTGGCGTTGTCGGACGGTGGAGGCTCGTACTCGGAACTGTCTGGGAAGCCCTCAATCGAGTGCATCATCCAGACAGTGTTGCTGCCGCTGGTCAGCACCACCCCTGCGATAAGTTAGCATGAACGCGCGCTACGGTAGTCGGTCGGTCTGGTTTCGTTTTCATATTTCATACCTTTGCTGGCACCCGGTCCTGATGCTTGGTCGCCAGAGCATTTGCAGGCGACGCCGTTTGCCGGAACGTTGTTGTAGAAAATGGCCATGTTGTTCGGGTTCTTCTTGTCCGAATAGTACTGATCGAGCGTGTAGTAAACCGACTGGTTCGTGTCCTTCAGCGTCACGTTCGGTATCACCCAGTCCGTCGACTTCGAGTCCATGTACAGAAACGCGCCGCCGTCCTTGACGAGGCTCATCGAGCTGCTGGCGTCGCTCGGAAGCACGTAGACGACGAACCTAAACAGGCACACGGACGACATGGCTGACATGGAACAACGCCATGTGCTGATGGACGTTTCGCAACGTTTACCAAGGCACGCTTTCGTCGTCGTTGTTCATGCATGAGAACGACGTGCCGGAGTCTCCTCTGGCCGCCGTTATGGCCGTCAGCAGCACGGCACACAGCACCAACCTCATGGCTTGTCCTGAACGTGCAACTTTAGCCGACACACTTGTGGGTTTGCGATGACCACGCGACACCCTGTTGCCTCTTATATAGCTTTCGCTCGGTTCTTGCACCTGTGCCACGTAAACAGCTCAGGAGAAGGGGCGCGTGATGCTCGAAAGTGTTTTGGGGTTTTTCGGCCAAAATCGCCTAACAAGGCAAATGAATCGACCGCTGATTACCAGGTGCCGGCATAAAATTCAACACCACTTATTAGCACATGCTTTCATGGTGAAACGCGCACGTAGATATGCGTATTAAGATAAGATCAGTAACATGTAGTCGCCCAACTCAAAATCGATTCTTTGACGGATCTAGATTTCAGGCTTAGATTGAGGCTTTCGCCGAGTCTTTGGTTTATTATCTCTCTCCAAGCCAAGCCAAGCTTATTGCCCTAGCAGACAATGGATATCTGCATTTCAGCAGTTTCATGAACCACATGTAAATAGTTATGCCACTTTTGATTCTCAGTAGTCTTCGTTGTCATTTTACTGTTAAGATATAATGATCAATCTTAAATGGCGAAATGACCGTTCGCTTTTCAAAGCACGAATTGTCTGATAGATCACAAGGGAAGGCATTGAATAGGGAGTACGTTCTTTGGAACTTATTTCATTTGTCGAAATCACTTGACAGGAAATCAGAACGACTGTATTCTCTTTCCAGGTGATGAGTTCTTATTCACTTGTAGCGCAGCGTGTCACCCTATCCGCGTATGTGTGAACCTTAATGGATTGTCCTCTGTAAGGAAGGTAGATTCGTTTTGCACCTTTTGGAATACCCTGTGCCAGTAGCCCTTAGCTCTTCCATAACAATTTACCGTAAGGTTATTGTACTTCTGTGCAATATACCGGCGCATTTAATACTGTCCGTTACTCTCAGTTGACAAATGATTGGCCAGGATTGAACGGTCCACCTCATGGTACTGTACCAGCTGGCCAATCAGATATTTGATGCAGTGTGGTTTGTGGGTTGAAACGCCGAAGAGCGGGAATAGCTGATACAACGTTTCGGAAGTTTTTGTATGTACGTCTGCACATACGCTGAGTTTTGGCAACCATCAGCTGATTCAAGGTGAATGGCAGCCGCAAAGCATACTCGTCAGACGTTGCAGGTTGCCGGAAGCGGTCCTCATCGCTAAACCACTGCAAAAATTTCCATGAGGACTGGTCCAGGTTCTTCTGCATAGTGTTTCAGCAGTGCGGTGAAATTCCAGCTGGGTTTTTGATAGCTGACGATTTCAAATTCTGGTGGTGAAGGATGGTTTCCACCACTTTAAAGGTGGGGATGTTGTCTTGTCGGTTGCGACTGAGGTAAGTGCTGTTCTTCGCATCAGAGGAAAAATGCATTTAACGCGTCAGCGTTGAATCCTGACATGGATCCTCGCTGCCAATCCTCTCGAGGAAGCGATGAAATGAAGCTAAGGAATTAGTATAGGTTTAACTGACATACTTCAGTTGGAACTGC